CACCCCTTCACTGCAATGCAGTTTGTAGTTATGTACAGTAAAGTAAAAAAAAACAATGTGCGGTGGCTGCCCCATTGACATGCAATGCTTCTCTGTGTAAACTACGCTGCTTTGCCTGGGCTTCAATAGAAAAAGTGCGTGGCTTTGCAATGTTCCAGCTCTCGTATTCGTGACCAAACAATCTACAATATAAAACTTGTCACAAAGTTTGTGCAGCAAAAAGAAGAAATGAGTATTCCATCTCTGTCGAGCATGTTGCTGTAATGTTCCATTTACCATATAGATTATTATTATAGTTATAATTATTTGATTTGCATACACAAAGGCACAGAGGGAAGAGGGAGGAAAACAGGCTGACAAATGCAACCTGGAGGGGCACAATGCCTGCCTTATCTTTCGGGAGCAGGGAAGAAGTAAGAAAGGAATATATCAGGAGAGAATGAGGAAAGAAGATACGGAAGTAAAAAAAATGACAAAGACTTCGACAAAAATGAGCAAAATGCAGAACCAAATGCCTATGAATCGGTAGCAGTGAACGCATAAGCTACTCTGGGGTGAGTGAGAAACTGAAAGGAGAGGATAATGCATTTAAAGAAAGAAGAGGGTAGACTCGAAACATGGCAACAACAACTTCGTCACAACCCCCGGAAAAATGCACAAAACACGTCGACACACCACTGGACATCACTTCGTCTAAAGCCGCGAGGCATTACATCTTCCTGGCTAAACGAGCTGCCTCTCACATTTAAAGGACACGACACGAGTTCAACGTTTATTAATATTCAATGACTAGATGTATAAACACTTGCTCACTTGGTGAAGTGTGTGTGTGTGGGGGGTGGGGTGCAATCTCCGTTGTCATTCTTATTTGTCCTAGTGTTCAAATTCTCGACACCCGACGCAGAGAGAGGTAACAGAGGGAGCCATGCGTGTTTGAGTGAACAACACCAGCAGAGAAAAATACAGTTGGAGCGACGCGACAGAAAGAATCACCAGTCGCCCTTCAGCCCTCTGTTACCCCCTTCTTTTCCTGCATACCTTCCTAATATGTTGTTTTCATCTGCCTGTGTCAGCTCGAAAAGATTCCTGACCGACAATGCAATCATAAACATTCCTTCAACTGCACACAACTCCCCCCCACCCCCACCTCCCAAGTTCACTGATGTGAGCGCGTTCTTCGGAACAGGGACGGATGATGTAAAAAAGACGATCAACAACGACCCTTGACCTGCGCTCTCCACGAAGAGAGAGAAAAAAAGATTAAAGTGGTCCGTGCGAGTACTTTGGAAAAACGTTGCGAGGGAGCATTAGCATCAAAATGAGCAAAAGTGATGGAGAGAGGCGATGTCCGACATTCACAAAGGTAATCTGCTTGTGCACTGAAGTGGTTGAAAACCGGGTCATCATGACCAGTTACTCTGGTAACGGTCAGTGTTCAAGTGAGCTACACAGTGCAATTATAGACGACAGCGGCGTCGGGAGTGAGCGGCGCCCTTGTAATGTCTCCTCCATTCCACAGTTTTGCAACTGTAAATGGTTCGAATATTACTGGGCCAACACAGTCGCATTCACTCTCAACACCCTGCCATATCACATCACACCACCACAAAAATCACACCACCACAAAAAGTTTCGCATCACACCACCACAAAAAGTTTGCAACAACTAAGCGTAACCTCTATCATCCACATCAGGGTTCCGTATCATCATGCAAGGTGAAAAAAGCAAATTGTGTCATCGATGTCGTACTCAGTGCGCTCTGTGCAGAGCCACTGCTAAAGCTCTTCGACAGCAGTTAGAGAAAAAAGTTACAGTAGCGAACAGAAAGTCAACGTGGGCCATGGTCATCGAGAGATGCTATCAAGTACAGCGAAAGTTATTGAAGCTCCTGAAAGTGAGCATATTTTTCCGCCTCAGAGACCCCAATCGTGCAGTTAGCCAGGGGCGACTGGGAGACATTCATGAGCAAACATCCTAACAAGAGGCATTATAGATGATGAAAGATCCTAGTCTACGTTCTAATAAAAAAGAGGCAAAAGTGTTCCTAGGAAGTACTGATTGAGGAAGCATGGGTGACAACAACCAGGTGATCTGCTGACACCAGCTAAAGTTCAGTATCACCAATGAAGCATTCTACATTTGCAAACGTCTTCGGTTACACTACTTCCTAGATAGCTATGGCTGTTTGCTAGCAGTAGGTGCAGTTATGCAAGTATACTCTAAATGTTTTGAAAACCGGTGTCCTCCGTGTGCCCTTACAACAATGCAGATAATTTCACTCAGCATCACCAAAGGCTCACTGGCACACAGATTTCATGCATTGTGGTCTGTTTCACATAACGAAGAATTTAACATCGGCAGTTTTCTACGCTGCCATAAATGAAATATTACGTTTATTCACAACTACACCGCCCCCGAAATCAAGTCGGGCATGCCGGGTGGTCAAGGAACATTCTTTGAGTGCATAACATGGGCTCAGCCAAGCTCATATTCTTAAACCTCTGCATAACGCAAGCTCGAGCGCCAACAAGCTAGCGTTAGAGGAATGTTTCCAAAATTGCTAGAGTAACTGCGCCAAGCAGGCTTTCGTACATGGGTGATTAGGCTACAACATTGTGCAATCCAAAGCAGCTGATTTACCTCATGCGTTCATCGTAAGGTTCAGGCATGTAATGACAGCCTGAATCAATTAAAAAAAACTTTGAATGCATCCCAAGCATATCGTGGCCCCGACCAACCAGACTGAGCGTGACTGTGGTCGAATCCGATGCAAACAAGTCAGGCCTGGCTAGAAGGCATAGTTTCATTTCCGCCACCCTGTATAATGGTTTGTCCATGTTTTCAGGCCTATGCAACCCTCGGCAACAAGACGGTGATCATGGTGAAAAAAAAAAATCTCGCCCCGAGTCACTTGTTGTAATGACTATACCGCTCCCTTCGTGCATCCATTTTAGTATATACATATAAACGCAAGTCGAGGAACACAGAAAGCCCAGCCAATGTACACATCCAGCATTGGGCCATGTTTCAGACAAAACTAGCCCAATCCAATGCCTACATTAACCTCGCTTCCGATGCTACTTTGGCATGCTTTGTGGTGTCGAAACTGTGCTTTGAGGCAAGTGCAGGAAGAACCCATGTGTTTACCTTGAATATAGGCATGCCCAAAATCTACAGAATGTAGCCGCTGGTAAAAGATGAAAGCTTTGAGAATTGGAATGCAAGTTAGCCCTTCAACACTGTAAGATCGAAAAATGCTCGAGCTTCAAAAAATGCATGAGCAAGCCGCAGAAAGAGCTTGAGGTTCGCATTTCCTCTGTTTTGTTACATGCATTGTATAGGGCAATGCTGGTGCTAAGAGGTGACATGCAGGCTAGAACTTGATAGAGGAATAAAAAAAAAAGGTATCACTTCGATTATCAGAGACCAGGGTCCTTTAGTTGAGCTACAAACATTCTATGAGCAACACAATACGGCGTTTGACAATACATGTACGCCCAGACGTTTACTACATTCTCAAAACATGCACATGCGAGATTTACAACAGTGAGCCTTGCTGCGAACACATCATGCAAGTAGAGGAGAAGTAGAATGGATCAACATTGGGCAACGGCTTGATCTCGAGATAAAGATCAGACACCTCATGTAACATATTGTATATACATATATAATTATGTATTCTTATTCACAGTGGACAAAATACCTGTATTTGCGTGTCAGTGCGCCATTGAAACCCCAGCACTGTTAGCAGCGGTGCAAGATCAGAGACATTTAACGGTAAGGTACCAACTTTTGTAAACACTAGTGTCTGAATACTGTTTGCTGGAAAAGCACAGTGACGCTTGCATTTTAACCAGGTGTGCTAAACAGGTCTAATCACAGCGGAACAGTGACACAGCGTACAGCACTTTATGTGGTCATAACTATTCTGCGGTCGTGGAACTCGTTTTGAACACCCGAGAATCATATAGATTGTTTGATAAGCGTCCGACTAACATCACTGAGTTATCAGGCACAATTTAATTGCTGTTCTCTTTCACTATGCCTGCAAACTCTTGATATTAAAAGACTGCAGTCAACAAATGCGGCTTCTATGCCAGCGGTGCAACCTTAAAAGCACTGCAAGTAACTTCGCTAGAGTGCCCCAACAGCCTTTTGGGTGGCGAAATTGAAATAAATGAATAGGTTTCGTTTTACATCTATCCCCATAGAGCATTACATATCAAAGGTTACAGTACTTCTGATTACAGGCCGTTTCTAATTATAAATGGGCAGTACTGAACACTTTTGACATAGGGTGTGTAAGAGCTTACGCTTCTATCAGCTGTGCGAGCCGCATATCACCATTTGGCGAGCGCGTGAAATCATCAAACTGCAGCCACGAAAAGTGTGGATGTCATGCCAATAAAATCGATAGGCAGTAACAAGAGCATAGGATTAAGAGGCGTCAAACGTCTCATAGGTATATACACTCTGTCATAACACATACGCGATTAATTGAAAATTCTTCCCAAGCCACAGAGACCATGGAGACACATTGGTTCTTGAAACTATGGCAAATGTACACTGATTAACGAAGTTTTTTTTTGGTCGATACCAGGCCCAGCGAATGCAGCGTAAACATGGTTAGCAAGCTCCGTTTGGTATGTGAATAGAATACCAACAATAAAACTTGAACTGCCTTATCCGCTTATATGAAGGCGCAAGTGTTCGAGGGTAGGAGACTGTTAATCTGTAACAGCACATGCCATTGGCACGAAAAGGTCACCGCTGGATAAAGAGAAAATGCGGTTTTCGAAACGCAGCAAATGGCCCGCCTGGTGTGACCACCCTTGTAAATTCTCATAATATCGTGCCTGCTTTGAACCCTCAACATGGTGACGCATAATCTAGAGAGAAGTAACAAAACTTGCTTTACGATGTGCAAGTGCATAGAGCACAACATGTGCGAGCGCTTGCTTCAAACCCTGTTTCTTTCAAGGTGCTTGCACACTGTCAGCCTTATCTGCGCGATCATGTGCTCATATAGGTGTGAGCATGATCGTCGTACTGCCGATCTCATTTCATCTCAACGAAATTTGAAACTACTACATCCAGAAATCACTGCTCGGGTGAAACTATTAAACATTTTCACGGGCGTACAAGCCTTTTACGCGTGCTCCGACAGACAGAGTGCACAAGAATCGCAATGCCGCCTTGTATGGATTCTAGGCTTTCCACGATTTCATTCTGCGTGCCAGGAAACACCACGACAGTTGATACCAAATACTGCAATAATTACATGCCACGCAGTGCTTTAAATTAGCTGCCAGCAGCAATACCAGAGCAGATAATGCCTGCCCACCAATCGCCACTGATTAATATTGAAGTGGCGAACTTTCAGGGAGAGCGCGCTCGCTTCGCCAACTGCGCATGCTGCGCTGACCTGCGTGGCAACAATGGTAGCGCGACTCAAGTGAAACGCCCGAGCGGGCGCCGTTTCACCTCATAAATTAGTCTCGCTCGCTGCAGCTCGGTGCTAACTTGCTAGCGATGTCACGATCACACCCATAACGTTGAGCCACCTACAGTGGCTTCTCGGGAGAGAATAACGACACACTCCTAAGATGGCTGAGCGAGTTGATAACATTAAACCACTCGATGCCGCATTAACTTCACATGCAGAACTAAGGGATAGACAATAATAGACATTAAACTGATATTCGAAGATGCGGTTGAACACAATAAATATTACCCTCCTGGCAGCACACAGGTAATACTTTTCTTGCGTGTAAGAATACTAAGCGGGAAATGTAAAAAAATGAAGATGCGGTATCGCACTGTGCGAAGCAGCAACTCCGAGTTCACGAGGTATAGAAACGCAAATATTACGGCACAGTCTGCCCCGATACCGGGGCGTCAAAGCATCGCATAGGAAAGTGAGTGCAAGAAAGATACAATGCAGAAGCAATGTGCTGCAGGTGCGTGAAACACTTGCAAAGTGTTCTGCCGAAGGAAAATGCGGCAGCATGGGTCGAGGCGGGGACTTCCTAATGGTGTCGGTCCAACGCGTGGAAACACGAAAAGTGTGAGAACGAAGTGGTAGGAAATGAAGTAACGTTAACAAAAAGGAAGGATCTCAAATTAGTGCAAATGGCTGCAATGTCTGCATTATTACGAATGTCTGGAAAGGGAACAATTTAGACAAAACTTCGCAATGCCTGCAATTATCCAGTAGACTGGCCAGAATGAGCTCCATTTCAAGTTTTCATAGTGACAATTGGATTAAGAATCACCATCGAATGCGTCTACATTCTGAGAGCCAAGGAACCATTGAAACACATCTCTCAACAACATAACGATCAACTGCATACGTTTTGACCATGAAAGAACTTTCTATTGTATCAATGTGTGCACATCATTCAGATGAGGAACCACGATGTCAACAAACTTCACTCGAGGTGTGCGACAGACTATGAAAATTAGTTTTTAACTTTGACACATGGCTCTTTGCAAGAAAAAACTAAATTACATCGACTTAGGTTATATAGCCGGCTTCAGCTACATGTCCTAACTCTAGTGAGGTCCTCATTAATTCAGTTGACTGTTCGGTGCCTCTGAAACAGTCACATAGAACGACATGCTTGGCCAGTTCACAAACATCTGAAGCTACACTTTTATGTCGTTAAGACAGGAATGGGTCACCTGTTAGTACAGACGTCAACAATGTTGCTACATTGAAAATGTGGCACAACGATGTACAGATATCAGTATGGTTGTCAAGTACTTCCAATACCAACCCTTCTTATGGTTTACCTAGACAACTTGGCATGTTTGCGAGAAATCAAAGCAAACTTTCGTGTAGCGAGTCTGCGTAGCGACATGTGAGTGGCGTCCGGATGTGCCACACAGATACATGCATACCTGGAAGAACTTGCATCGTGGTCGAGGTCACATCCTGGTCGACGATACCTGGTTGAGAATTGAGATGCTTGGTTGAGGGCACATCTTTGACAACTTTTTTGGGAAGTGTGGTGGGAGGGCGAACGTAAACGAAACACCATGACTAGGGTCAGAAAGATGTTTGATACGCGCCGTCGTTGCTACATTTTCCCACCGCTGCCAGCGGACGCAATGCACTGGGCGCGAACTCTTTTCTTCACGTCTTCGCCTTGTCCGCGGCAGAGGTTTCCACGGTTGTGTTGACGCTCATCACGAGCATCTCAATGGTGTGCGTGCCCGGAAGGCCCGAGCCGGCGAGGTTGGGCGAGTCTGCCTCAAAGTTTTCGAGCGGAACTTGGACGCAGACCAAATTCCACTGCCGGAGCAGGCCTTCCATTGAATAGTCCGCACTGGAAGTGAAGCAAGGATTCAGTTAGGAGCCACGCAGACTGCTGTCAATGTATTCTATGACTACAGTCGGGGGTTCTCCTCACAGTAGGTGGCAGTGTAAATACTGCCTACCAGTCTGGTTCATCGACATTTAATAGATTCCCACCACTCCAATTTTTTTTTTTTTTTGAAATTCGCACTAGAGGAGCCAATAAATAGAAGTATTGCATGTGTACTGCCAATTAGCTGTGCCTCCCACCGCATGGTTTGTAAAAAAAAAAAGAGTCCGAACAGGCAGCCTTACGGTTTCAAAGATCACCGACTCCAGTGCCGGTACTACAACCCAAGTCCCCTTACTTTCATTTTGTCACAGAGGCCAAAAATGCAGAGCCAGAAATGAACTGTGGATGCGTCTTGAAAACAGATTTCTTGGAATTCCTAAACTTGATATCCTCCACCATCTCAAAGATGTACAACCCTCAAAATTTGCGGGAAGAACCCCGGTTCCAGTCTGCACGTCCCACAGTAATGTAAGTGACTTTTTACTTTTTGGAGCATAATTGGAGCAGGAAAAGTACTGTTTTGGGCAGCCATGTGTGTTTTTGGAGCAGGAAAACTGTTCGTTTAGAGCAGCTAAGTGTTTTAGTGACAGAAAAAAATTAGCCATACACCATGTGGGGTCTCGGCGAGGCGAACGCGCGCACCGCCACGCCACGCTCTTGGAGTGACGGACACAGTGAACACGGTCGGAACAAAGCACACAACATACATACATTTATTAACTAATTTAGACGACGATATCGTCCGCCGAATGATACACCAATTTCAACTAACACGCTACCATACAAACAACATAACGCAGAGACACACTAAACACACAATAACATGATAAACCCACACTAACACACCCAACACACTAGCACATACCCAAGGCGGCGTCGCCAACGCCTGACCTTACACGCGGGACCCCGGCGCGAAGCCCGCGGTGCCGAGCACCGGGGACCCGCGCTACAGACAACCGTTCGCGGCAGCCGCCACGCGCAGAAGAGGCTCGCTCAACGCTCGCCCACCACCAAGGCGCGCCTTCCGCCAGGGGCCACCACCGGCGCTGCCACTCTACCAACAGTGGTACTCAGAGCGAACACAACGCCATCTATCGCCCGGTGGTGGTCACCACCGAAATAACGCCCTGGGGCGAGACACGTGCACCACGCGGCGCAGACAACTTTACAGGGGGGGGGTGTCAGCACCCCCACAACCGATAGGAGTTCAAAGCATCGTCAAAGCATCTCGTAAATATTAATACATAATATAAAAAAACATTTCACAGACATTAATGTAAATTTAAAAAAAGCAAACAAAAAGAATATAGCTGGTTATCAAAAACAAACTGTGAAATGAACTATATAATATGTATACTAGTATTCGTAGCAGAATTTAAATCAAACCGGTAAAGCTGAGCACCACGTTTTAGAAGTACCCACAGTCCCGCATAACTGTTGCCAAATAAGTAGGATGAACAGTTCGAGATAAAAGCCATCCTGCTCATTTTCACACTTCACCACACTGGCCCGCAAGTTTAGGTGGGGAAAAAAAACCTGTCAAATGAGCTATATGCTTCGTATGCCTGTTCGTGCCCCACAAATTAGATTAGAGTCAATAGTGCTGCACACTAGTAGCATACATATTCTTTTCAGTTTCTTTAGGACTCGTGAGCTGGTCAAACAGTAAAGGCTAGTCATTCTCACTCTCTCAGTGCCATTTCGGAGCAGGTTTGGAGCAATTACTAAACAAAATTGCTGATTGGAGCAGCATGGAGCAGCATTTCTCTTTTGGAGCAGTTTCGAGCAATTGTAGCAGCACTTCCATCACTGGTCCCGCCTAAACAAGCTCCCTCCTCCCGTATTTAATCGATACATTCATTAATAGTTGCGGCATAATGGATGAATACAAACAAAATGCAGACTAATTATAACGTAACCACTTATAGTGCGGAACCGATTACGATGCGGCCTTCTTCGACTCTAGTTTGCCCTCCCATAGAACCCCGTGCATACCCATACCGCTTCCTAAACAGTCCCCCCAAGCTGAAACACCAGTTACAATGCAGTTGCCAGAAAAGCTTTGTGACAAATCTGGTAGTGAGTGCACGTCTGAAAAGAGGCGTGCTGGATGCACCGCTGGGGAGCAAGCGACGAGATTGCTACGCAAAAAAAGGGGGGGGGTAGGGGGTAAACAAACGAAGGCCGGAGGAAGCAAAGAGAAATGGAAAAAAAAAAGGTGGTTGCCTCGGCGACGGATAAGCCTTTGCCTCAGCACCGACGCCACTGCGTACTAGCGTCGCTAGCGTGGCTCCTGCCGCGCGCTGCTCAACATGGCGCGTGCCATCTTGTCTTTATCAGCTGTGCTTAACGGTTTCCTGTCTGGTAAAGGGTCGTCGTTAACGAGATTGCTACAGAGATTGCGTTTCCGACCTCGTTCGCACGTTTAAGACCTTTTACGGTCTTATGACGCGAGCTTTCCTCTTTGTTGCGCTGCCTACCTTATAAGCTTTTCGGGTTTGCGTCATTCATCTCCCGGCCACGAACGCGAACTTTGTATCACGTATACCATTCTTAGCTCAGTGCTTGAGTGCAATCTTTTCAATTCCGGATCTTCGTGTCTTCGACAAACTTCCCGAGAAATTTTCAAGCATGTGTGAAAAATCGGAAGTTCACTATCGGCATTTGTCATAAAGGCCCTCACCTTCGTATCTGGTAGGTGCACCAGAAGCGCCCGTGAGGGTTCTGGTGGAGCAGGTAGGACACCGTGACAATGATGTTCTCAAAGTCTGAAACGAGGCAAGTGTCAAAAAAAGTGTGTGCATGAATATTTAAATGCAAAGGGTGCCCCAGTTAACTTGAGGCAGAGCTGAAAAGTATGCCAACAAACTTCGTGATTTGATTGATATGTGAAATTTACCGTCCCAAAACCACCATATGATTAGGAGAGACGCCGTAGTGGAGGGCTCTGGAAATTTTGACCACCTGAGGTTTTTAACTTGCAAGCAAGTCTGAGCACACGGGCCTACAACTTTTCCGCCTTGATCAGAAATGCAGCTGCCGCAGCCGGGATTCGATCCCGCAACCTGCGAGTCAGTAGCCGAGTACCTTAGCCACCAGACCACCGCGGCGGGGCCAATGTACTTCGTGACGACGTGACCGAATGCATGGAGGAATTCCCACAAACATTTGTGTTTGATTAACTGCTTAGTTAGGCAAGACTAATCAACCCACAATTAATTAGGGGTGCTAGCCAACATATCACATAGTACTTATTCATATTTTATGTGCACTCGCAGTGTGAAAAAAACCACTGATACTAAGTTTATAGGTAAAAAGTTAGAAAATGTTAGATCATTCAGAAAACCAATCTACAAGTTTATAAATGACATTTTGAGCCAGTCTTCATTGCTTAAGATGTTGGCAATATATTCTAGGCTAATTGGAAAAATTAAGATCGTGAAATTTAGCGCAACTTACTGCGTGACATAGTTCTAAAATCTGGCTAATGTTCACTGGGGCGCCCTGTATACACTCAGATAGATATGTGGGGTTTAACGTCCCAAAACCATCACATGATTATGAGAGACGCCGTAGTGGAGGGCTCCGGAAATTTTGACCACCTGGGGTTCTTTAACGTGCACTCATATTTGAGCACACGGGCCTACAACATTTCCGCCTCCATCGGAAATGCAGCCGCCGCAGCCGGGATTCGATCCCGCGACTTGCGAGTCAGCAGCCGAGTACCTTAGCCACTAGACTACTGCGGCGGGGCCCTGTATACACTCACAGTCCTTAGTTATGCCAGAGCAAGGACATCCGAGACCTGACAAATATTCGACATCCAGTGGCGAGGCAATACCTTTTGGGTCGTAGAAGCAGTCGGACCCCAGGATGATGTCGATGGGTCCGAGCTGGAAGAGGGCCGGGTTGAAGAGTCCCCAGGAGATGGAGACCACGGGCACCTCGTTGGCTGTCAGCCCGTTGGCCTCCACATTGCGCTGGCAGTTCTTGAGCCCCAGTGGCGAGCTGTCCGAAAGGGTCACCCTAGCACCCAACAGAGCCGCCAGGATCCCCGGCAAGCCGGTGCCAGCACCGATCTGTAAAAAGGCACTCTATCAGGGATGCCCGTCATCAAGAATTTCAATACACTCATACCTCATTATAACAAAGTTGCATCTTACTCAAGAAACAACTTTGTTATAACCGAAAATTTGTTATAAAGGTTTACTCCTAACACTACATTTATTGCAAGACTATTCTTAATTTGCTTCTTTATCACCAATACATGCAGGTTCGTTATATTGAGGTTTGAGCGTATTACTTATTGGCGTTTCACCCTCCGAAACTGTGGTAGGATTATAAGGGACACAGTAGTGGAGGACTCGAAAACTTGCGACCACCTAGGGTTCCTTAGCGTGCGCCTAAACCTAAGCACACAGGCCTCAAGCATTTTGACCTCATTCGATAATACGGCCGCCACGACAGGGTATTCGGTCCAGTGACCTTCAAGTGAGCAGCCGAGCACTAAACTACGAGTAGATAACCGTGGCGGGTGTCATCAACGATTCTGTTGTGGCCAACCGATAAACGTGCTGCTTTCGCAGTACGCTACCCCATATGTGAGTGGGAGGCACAGATGCGCACTGCTATTCTGGTACACTAAGTCGAGAGTTCGACGGAATACAGCCTGGTCAAGTAAAGGCATTGCTGAGAATGCGGGAATAATAAGGTAATATGCGCAACAGTGAATGAAAGCACGTATTCACTCTTTAGCGAAGTCTCCTGGGTCATGTCCACTCTGTTCAATGTACGTTTGCCAGTGCATGAACAGTGTTAGCTGTTGACTTCCCTCAACGTGAGTTTGATTTCAGTTCTACACAATGCAATGTTATCAACAATTGTGCTACATATCACTGAGTGTGGAGAGCACTAAAATAACTATATTGAAGAAAAAACACGAATAAGCTCGAAAAATGCGTCAAGCAACAATGAAGTTCTCCAAGCGACTCAGTAAATTAAGAAGAATAAGTGGAGCTGGCAATCGTGGTCCTCAGGCTCGTCAAAACTATAGAAGGTTGAACACTTACTCGGACTCATTCGTGTTCATATACCCACCACAACTCAAGGACGGCTCCCTCATGTTCATGCTTGCCCCCGCTCAGACTCCTGACAGACTTTCGTTCATACTCACATCAGCCGGCACTACCTCATTTTCCTGATGCCCGTCTACTCGAGTGCTCACACGTTACACATTTCAAGTCACATCCCTAAGCCGAGACCTATTGCTCATAAGGGCGTGTCAACTTAATCGCTGCACAAAACTTAGGAGGCAGTTCCAGCCCCTCCTGCACAAACAGAAAGACAGAACGTGGTGCAGTCAGGCGAAGAAGCAATGTTTTAGGTGCTGTTCGATTCCCTCTAGAATACAAACTAGCTAGGTCACCAACATGCAGTACTGAAACAAGGTACCTCAAGAAATGCAATAGACAACTACCAGCAAGTTCTCGGCGCTGAAATCTAAATACTATCACCCCCTCTCCGCATGCCGCAGCCCTTCTTTTGAACGTTACAGAAGTGCCTCGGATTTTGTGCACAAGTTATATGAACAATAATAGGGCACTGCACTCACACAGTGGCAAAGTGAAAGAGATAATAAACAGAAATTAATGCAGGCAGGCAATGAACAATGATAGGTCACTCGTAGAGATTTAGCGGGGTCATCTCTCGGGACAAACACAACGGGAAGTGCTGACAGCCATGCGCAGCCCGAGCCATGAGCTGACCAGGACCCGCAACTTGAGCAAACAAGGTCAAGGCTTTGTGCCGCCACTATTACGGCATCGGACGTGTCAAGCCACAAACGACACCTCTGCATTTTCGCAACACGTGTAGAACAACAAACGCACATCAACTCTCAAACCTTCGTGCTTAATATGGTCACAAACACACTGTACCAAGTTCAGGGGTACAGCCAAATTTTTTTTTTTAAGAGTGGGGGTAGTGGGCTTGGAACCATACTTCATGTGTGTTTGTGCATTCATTTGTGCATGTACATATACGCACATGCAAAATTGAAACATTTTAGATTTCAGGGAGGTTTGAGCCCCCAACCCTTCCCTCTCCTGACTACGCCAATGCTGAAGTAGCCAATTCACAATAAAAGATTCACAATGAAAGAACTCTGAAATTTCTATTTCATTTTATTTTTCAACTGACGCATGAATTCATGCAGAAGAACTGTTGGTCCAGCAGCCAAAGGCTTGCAATGGCCCATATTCGACATACAAACAGCAGCAGCTCTAGACTTACAGCACATGGAATTCCTGGTGGCAAAACAGGGAGGCAAATACATGCACATGGACTAAAATTTTAATTAAAAAAATTATATATGCATGAAAACAATACTTATTTATAAAGGATCATGTGAAAATGATTGTAACAATCTGAAAAGCAAATTGAAGTAAAATTTCATAATGCCTGAACATTTTTTTTTTTTTTTTGGATAAAGGACACAAAATTTTCAGCTATCTTTTTATTTACGACGTACTGAATTTCAGATTGTGGAACCGTAAGTCTACACCAGTCATGGACCACACATGTTAATGAGTGGCTGGGAGGTTAGAATGCAGGAGCCAGAGGAAAATTATGCGTTAGTCGTAGATGAGTACGCACACCAAAAATGTTCAGTCTCCAGACGGGAAAGATTTCTAGTTAAATAATTCAGATACACAGTGTTATCACTCAGCACAAAGTTGACGAACATCCGGCTGGAATATGGCCATATTCCAGCTGGGAACTAACAAGGTTCCAGCTGGATATTCATCTGCTTCAAGCTGAATAACTGAACCGTAAGCCTTTGCCGACCCCTGGAGATAATTCTATTTGAATAACCCAGCTGGAAACAGAACATTCTTCCGATCCTAAGGTGCAGAAAGACATTCACCTCGAGAATGCGTTTGCCCTTGATGTGCTCCCGGTTGAACCAGAGGTACTGGGCCAAAACGGGACTGCAGGGCCAGACGTACATGCCGTAGCTCGGGTCCATCATCTGCAACATGTAGCGAAACAGCAGGATTGTATTTTCGAGGCATAGTTTTTAAAATACTCAAAACTCATTAGAACGAAATTGCATCTTACACTAAATTAATATTCATTATATTTGAATATTTGTTGTAAAGGTACACTCAAGCCTCATGATAACAAAGTTGCATGTTACATGGGATTAAGTTCATTACATTCGAAAATTTGTTATAAATGTTTATTGCTAACACTATATCTATTGCAAGACTATTTTTTTCATTTACTATGACCAGTATTTAGTTATATCTGGATTCATTATCTTGAGGTTTGGATGTATGCTTCTAATACTCTATTTATCCTAAAACTATTTTTCATTTACTTTGTTATGAAAGATACTTCCTAATATCTGGGTTTCTTATATCGAGGTTTCAGTGTACGATCTACAGCTAGCTACAAGCAGGGCCACACATTTAGTAATAGCGTTCTGGGTGTATTGCTGTGACATAATGAGGCTTATAGCACACAAAAAAAAACATGGGCAAAGAAAGGTGCACACACACAAAAAAAAATGCATTGCGATTATGGTTGCAAAACTATTGCAAAAACTACGCTTAGTAATCACGATTACGGGTTTAAAATGAAGGTGCTTGTACATGTGGTTCCCCGTTTTCGAAATAAACAATGCTGCAGCTCATTTCTTTGCCATGTTTCTTTGTGCACTATAAATCTTATTATAGAGTATGTTTCCTGTATGTCACTATTGTGAAAGACAGATTAGTTCATGGTTTCCTCTCTGCTATTATCTATCACTCCTGAACACTTCATCATATGTGATAAAACAGAATGTTCATGTCACACTGTTTGTGTCAAAATGTCTGTTTTATCCCAAAGACAAGATTTCACAAATACAAAGGAAATAGTAGAAGCCTTTCATACCAGAAGGTGTGCTGAATAAGTGCATAAGCAGACCATTGATTGTTATAACAAGAAGTTCACCTTTTTGAGCCATACTTGACTTCTACATTAAGCTGCACGTTGTAAATACCACTTATGTAAAGAAACTATTGCCGTGTTTTTTTCTGTTTTGCCTGTGTTTTCTTTTCTTGTTAGTTTCTTTCTTTTTTGCGCACATGCGCTCTTGGGCAACCCTGGGATATTTATTTCGTGTACTTCGTTCAATAAACTGAGTTGTGAGCTCGCACATGTTTTTCGTCTCGCCTTTCGTTTTTTGTCTATTGTGTGCTCGCCAAGATGTTTCCAGGAATGTCCTCAAACCAACTCGCCAAACTTTGCTACTATTTCAGAGAGTCAGACTTATAATTCAAAGACAGTGGAGTTACCCTTTGGACAGATTGACCTCACCAATTATCCTAAATGGTCGAACCATTTGGGTTTTAATAGCTTTACTGCATGATTGAATCAGCCAGGCCCATATCTCACAAACAGGGTCACCGATCGGACCTACTGTACTTTTTCTGATATGGCTGTCGTAAAGCATAAATGGAAATTTCGCAATCGTTCAAATGGAATTAAACTGAAAATTACTAGTTGTACTGGGCCACTTTTTTTTACTGGGATTACAGAGTCATTCTGCAGTTTAATCATTTCTCTGTCTAGCTCTTGAAAGATCTAGCAATAATTAATGCAGGGAGCAGCAGTAACAGTATGAAACAACGTGCAATTAAATACGTTGCTCGAGGGACACTTATTTTTGCTCTTGCAGGCGCTAATATGTGAAGAGGAGAGTTATAAACAAATTTTTCCCACAATCTACATCGAACAGAACTAGAAAATAATACAATTTTGCCGTAACTACATGCTCCAAGCTGACGCGGACTTGGTGAAATATATCCACGTGTATCGAGCGAATAGATCTAGTGAATGCCAGCATATACAATGCTTATTTCAACGGGCAACGCGCTGACTATGATTGTTTAATTAAGAACTACTGCCAACAAAACGTTGCGATGACAACCGCGAAGCCGACGGACATGGAAAAGCATGTGTTAGATTTTGAACGCGAACAATTGATTAGTTGATCACAGCAAGGGGTCGGTGCAGGGCAAGCAGCATAAAAACACTCCCAAATCGCCCATTGAGACAAAGCTGGCAGCACCTCGATTACACGGCCAAGGTCCGTACCAAGTGGCTATCCGTTTTTCTTTTTTTTTTTTAGCTCGTACACGTGTACCGATCGGCCTCCCCAAATCGAATTAAACGACAACTGGTAGCACGCATCAACAATATGTACGAAACCGAAACTGCGGCTTGTTCGCGCGCAGCGCGCCCTGTCGCTACTTGATAACACGTCCTGATAACGCAACGCGCTGCACTGCCTTTTTTTTTCTAGCTGTTACCTCGATGATCTTCACAGTGAGAGACTCCTTGTGGGACTCGAAGACGAACGTCCTCGTCTTGTAGCTGCCGTCGCCGTTCTCCATGTAGTCTGGCTGCTTCATCCGCTGTTTTTTGCGGCTCAGTGCCATCACCGATCAACGCGTTCGACGTCCAAGGGCTCGGGCTTACCACGACAGTGTCGCGATCACGCTACATGCTCTCTCCACGCACGCCGCCTATACCTACGAACGAAACAGCTACGCCCTTGGTGAAGACGAAAGAAGACACATGTCCGAGCGTAAAGAAAAGAAAATGTAGTAAAGGCTAAACACTAAAACACAATACACCGACACACCGAAAACCCGCGCACGCGAGGTGCCTCCCTGCACTTAGCGCACCCCCATCTTTGAATGGCTTCGCCGCACTGCACCGCTGCCAGCGCCCTCGATGGTGTTAGGAAACACGCCGGTGGTGGCGTCGTCTGCTCGCGTTATTTTTTTGCGCGGAGCAGACGACGTGAAACGATCGCGCGCGTGTATCGGACGGGACGCCAACGTTTTCGATCATCCTCAGAGATTAAGGCAGATTTAGAATAACGTACGCTAAGATTGCGGGTGTAGCGTTAGCGTAAAGGTGCCGTATGGGTCGGCGCCGCACATGTTTGGAAAGTGTTTTGGCCTTATTCTACAAAGTATTTATTTGATGCTGTTTACAATATTCTACTCGTAGAAAAATGAGGCTGCACTACCGGAGAGACTAGAAATGAATCACAGAAAATTCATACACCTTTTTTTTTTTTTAGATGCTGTGACTACGGTGCCCGGATAGGCACCGATCGGACTGAACACCGTTTCTGCCATCGTTTCTAATTACTACTAAATTATCAGCTATTGTATGAGGACATTTTATATTCAAAACAGCTCTTTGACTTGCCTGTGTAACGCTGTCCGTCCGTGTCTCCCACCCTCTGCCCGCTGCAGTTGTTGAAACGATGCCAAGTAGGTCAAGTCGCAACTGCGCGTTGACGTCACTCTCTCTCTCACCCGCTGCAGTTGCCGGCTCATCCCAACGCACCTAAGTGGTATAGCTTCTCCGCCCTCTCGCAACACACTTCTCTCTCGCTTCCCACTCACCACCGCCCGCAACGCTCGACCGCACGTCGAGTGAAAACACTCTTTCGGCTCGTTTATCCGCGATGGAACGTACACTGTTGTCCTTTACGAAATGAAACACGCGAACGTGTGGCCTGCGTTCTGCGGCGTATGCCTACAGCACCATCAACCGACAAGTTTTGAGGAAAGCACGTTCGCTTTTGGCGTCATCTATTGCCCAGCAATATAACGAGTCATGCATGGCCAGTAGAGAAGTGCTGCTAGATTACGTTTCCTCCCCGCTCGCGCGGTGAGCGATATGGGGCGATTACTGCAGCTTGCGCCGTGGTCGCGCACAACGTTTGATATATGTTGGCAGTGGACTACGCACTGCAGGCATGAGCAGAGATGGAATGCAATATAGCAGTGCTTGTCTACCGGCCATGACTAGTTTTTTTTTTTTTTAGATGCGGAGCATCTAATACTCGAGGCTTGTAGTGCGGCGCCGTCCGCAAGCTTCCTCCTCCTTCTTCCACCATCTGTACATCCCTTCCTCCTCTACACACCGCGCGCGCTTCACTCCTCCACCATCTGTGCACCCTTCCTCCTCTACATACCGCGTGCGCTTCTCCTCTTCACGAACATTCGCTAGCTGTATAATGTAGCGCGCATGCGCCGTCACGCTTCGAGAACATCGGCAGCTGACGCGCGCGCATGCGCCGTCGCGCTTCGAGAACATCGGCAGCTGACGCGCGCGCATGCGCCGTTGCGCTTCTCCCCCTTCTCGAACATTCGACAGCTGACAGTGCATGCGCCGTCGCGCTGTATATATACTCAAGGTCGGCGCTCGCTCGCTCAGTTGCCGCTCGTCGGTTGGTTTGTACGGCGCGTCGACGTCCAAGGTCGCGGTGAAATGAATTCCAACGAATCCACAAACACAATGAACGACGTCCCTTCGACCAGCGCCGCCCTTTCGCATACGTGTGTACGTGTTCACTCATTTAACACCCCCTCCTACAACCACGTTAACCAATTTAGCCATCGACCCAAGTAAGTCGCAATTTAACACCCCATTTCACAACCACGTTAACCAATTTAGCCATCGACCCAAGTAAGTCGCACTTTAACACCCCGTTAACCAATTATATGCTCCGCATCCTCCTCAGTGTTCCCCCGAGGGAAGCTGCGGGCAATTTTTTTTCCTGACAACAGATGACGCTGAAAGCGAACGGGTTTTCTTTTGCTGTCGGTTGATGGTGCTGCCTGCCGACAGCCGTTACAGGCCAGGCGTTCACGGGTCATAATGGACGTGATGCAATCCAACCCGCCTCCAGTGTCTTCGCGTTTCAAAGAAACGTTTACTCGAGCAAAGGCTACACCGATTTTCGCTTCAAACCGTTCCTCCAGCGACCGCGTCGACGCCCGTTTTAGCCGAATCAGTGGAGATAATAAAGTTCCCTGTCTGTCTGTCTGTCTGTCTGTCTGTCTGTCTGTCTGTCTGTCTGTCTGTCTGTCTGTCTGTCTGTCTGTCTGTCTGTCTGGTCTGGTCTGGTCTGGTCTGTCTGTCAATAGCGTGCGCACCGCTGCTGGTTCCTTTCGGGGAGATGGTCTATATTTTTCTTTATTACAGTGCTAATACTCGATAAGCATTTTATAACTACCTTTTTATGAAGCCGCCACGGGGGTCTAGTTGTTATGGTGTTTTACTGCTGACCCAAAGGTCGTGGGATTCAATCTATGCATCCTCGATGGAAGTCAAAATACTTGAGGCTCTTATGCTTAGAACACCAGGTTACCGAAATTTCCGGAGTCTTCAGCAACGGCATGTTTCATGATTATGTGGTCGTTTTGGGTTCTCATGCTCGTTCTTAAGCATAAAAACTCAGATAACCCGTGCTTACTTTTATTCCTTAAATGCCCCACTAGGGGGTATTACATAAGGGATGGGTTACAATGTATACAACGAGTTGAACACTTTATTTCATGGCATATTGTGATGCGATCGCTCCAATGAAAGCTGTAGGGCTTGAGTTAGCGATCTCTTGTGCAAGGTCATTCCAGTCCTTGGCTTCTCGAGGGAAAAAAAGAAGATGCGAAGGTGAATGTGCGAGCATGAAGACGGGCAACGTTTAAGGGGTAACCAATGCGATAGGATATGCGTGATGGTGGCAAAATATATGGTGCTTGATTTATCGCGCTGTGGTAGAATTTATGAAGTAATGATAAACTAGCGATGAGGCGTCGATTGGAAAGAGTTTGTAAACCAGATTACGCTTTCAAAGATGTTACGGTGATATCGTAACATACATTCTCCTCCACCTTTATGCTCTGATGTAGAAGCATATGCCATGCAATTTGGATACGTAACTGAATCCATTCTCACTCATGATTCTATATTGTGATAAAACTCAATTGCCTTTCACCTAGCTTAGAAGTAAACGCGAATGACACAGTGGCAAGACGACTGAATGCACATCCCGCTGTTTGATCGCCCCAGTGAAAACAACATTGCCTTTATTAATCGACTGGAGAGGCTTGCTGAATGTGCGTGGTATTCTTTATCGTCATTGCGATGTAACCTCATGATTATAGGTTATGACAGTCACCTACCCCGTAAAGATGCACGCACATATCTAAATACAGAACAGTCAGCAAGAGCTGCAGCGATTTAAATATAGGAGATAAGTTTTTGTCTGACCGCCTTACTGACTGACCGACCAACCGACGGATTGACCAACTCACTGACTGATCCGGCTGATCAGTCATCGAACCCGGCTGATAGACTGATTGGCCGATCAACTGACCCAACAGACGGACTGGTTAACCCCTGAACCAATTTGCCTGATGAACTGACGTTTGATCATGCAGGCTGATCGAATGATCGATAGATTTGACTGACTAACTGATTTGATTGATTTGTGGGGTTTAACGTCCCAAAACCACCATATGATTATGAGAGACGCCGTAGTGGAGGGCTCCGGAAATTTTGACCACCTGGGGTTCTTTAACGTGCACCCAAATCTGAGTACACGGGCCTACAACATTTCCGCCTCCATCGGAAATGCAGCTGCCACAGCCGGGATTTGATCCCGCGACCTGCGGGTCAGCAGCCGAGTACCTTAACCACTAGACCACCGTGGCGGGGCTGACTAACTGAGCAGACTTTTTTTTTTTTATTTTGGCCTTATGCTCATTTATTTGATTGGGCAATTCGAAAGCTGGCAATAATATAACTTCAGCGTACAAGCAGCCCCCTATTTCCTTGCAAACATCTAAACAAGCTCGAAAAAACATGCAGCAAAGACCACAAGTGCATCGAGGGTTTTCTTTTTTTTTTTTGTTCCTTTTGTTTCGGGTGATCGACGTTTTACGTAAGAGCCGTGGCAAGCACGTACACGAAACACTCGTGTGCCAAGTCGTTACGTTTGTTTGTTTTTGTTGTTTTCTTCCTCTTGTTTCCTCAGATACGTTCTGCGTATCGCTCGTCCTTCTGTTCTTTCGTCGCGCGTGTCCCTCCGAAACCCTCACGGGGAATCGGCCACAAAAGCCTGTATCCACTCCTCCCACATCGCGTTGTTCAAACAAACGCCGCGGAACCTTCTCGCGACCCCCACTAGGGGTTGTTTTCGCGATGGCGCTATCGCACGACGGGCACGGACTGGCGGCGCAAACTCCATATTTGGGATGGACGTCGGAGCTAGTTGCGACCGCTGTGCCTTCGTGCAGACGGCCTCAAGGCTGACGGCATGCACGCGCGCCCCCTGTGAGCCGAGTGGGGCGGCGATACGTACGACGTGCTCGTGTCTGCGTCCAAGCGCGCGCTGTATTATCAAGCGAATGTTTTTTTTTTTTTTTTGCTGTTTTTTTGTTTTTTTGCTTTCCCTTCTAGAAAACCCGTCGCTGCGCGTGAAGATGCAACAGGGATCACTTGATGTCCTACCCCCTCAAGAAAGGAAGGAAGGAATAAACTTTGTGTTGTATCCGACGTGTTGTTGGGCTGCGCTCCCGCCTAGAGGTGTCGGCTAGAAGGTCTTTCTTCCTAGCGGCTTTCTCGGCTCGTTGGATTGCCCATAGCTGATCGTCCAGGCCTGAACTGAGCAGCACGGCCAGCCAACGAGCGCGAAGGCTGTCGGTGGAGGACGCGTTCTCAGTACTGTGTTTTAATCCTTGACATTCCTACAGTATAAGGAAGCTCGTGCCTGAAAATCTTTGCATTGAGCGGTCGTGTAGATCGCTGGATACGTAGCATGTAGTAGCGCTGGATTTCTATAGGATCTAGTTTGTAATTGTCGCCATAGGACAG